GCTAAGTAGTACCATTTTCTAATATTACGCCACCATATCATGTAGCTAGTTTATGACTATGATACTTGATTTTAAAAGGCCAAAATAAAGTTTATGCCTCTTTCACTACTGTATTATATATGTGTGTGTGTGTATATTTTACAATTCTCTTTATAAAGATGTGACCATTAGAGCTCTGGTCTGTTAATTAAAATACTCATTGTTTTCATTCTAGTTTACCCATGTGAAAAATTTAAGTGACTGAAGTGGATTATAACAGTACTTCTCAATTCAAAAACCTTTAAAATAATTAGTTTTGGACTTAAAAGATTATATTGAAAGCATCTTAGGTACAATTTAGATCTTAAACTATAAAACAGATAAAACCAATTAAAATAATCTGTAAGCTCTAAAACTAAGCATTTTCAAACATATCAAAAGGACTGGAGAAAAAGGAACTGAATTACAATGTTAAAGACTGCTTGTGACTTTAGTGTAAGTTAGAAAATATTTTTGACTCAAGTTTTAATTCTTAAATCCAGCATGGGGTTGAACTCAGTTTTTCAATAAGTATGAGATTTTTAACTTTCAATGTCTTATGACAGAACACTAATGAAACAATTTTCTATTTAAATTATTATCACTGATAAAGTTTTGCTTCTTTAGTGATGAGTATATTTGAAAACACTTATTTTTGAGACAGACCTTACTACTGTCTATCAAATAATGGCCACCAAGTAACTTTATTCTTCATATTACCAAAGTGTTTGTGTATGATTTTAAGAAGATATTCTGTCAGATTTTTGGTTTTCATGTGTCTACTTTAATTCCGATAATTTATTTCTTGCAAGTAATAGTACTTTTAATCACATAATTTATTTCTTGGAAGAAATCCTCCAGAATAGCACTGTCCAACTGAAATATAACGCAAGCCACAAATAATTTAAAATTTTCTAGTAGTCACATTAAAAAAGGGAAACAGGTGAAATTAATTTTAATAATATATTTTATGTAACCTAATTTATCCAAAGTATCATTTCAACGCGTAATCAATGTAAAAAATCGAGTTTTTTTTTTTTTTAACTAAGTCTTCAAAATCTAGTGTGCATTTTATACTTATATCACGTCTCAATTCACACTTGCCACATTTAAAGTGCTCAAGTCCCACATGTGTGGCTACTGGGCAGTACTAGACAGTGCAACTCTCCTTAAAATTATAAAGTAATATCCAAATTTTTATTAATAATTTGAGGTGAAAGTCACACTTACACTTAAAAAGGTTTTCATAAAACTAGAAAACTGAGGATCATAAAGATGTAACTTACAACGTTTATGAGGCTGGGTGCACAGCATTATTTTTAATTTTCAGCTAGCTTTATTTTACCACATGCTTCCTTTTTCTGTCACTGGAAAGTGAAACGTCAACCCAGTCCAACCAAAACAATAAGCAAGTACTTATTACACTAAGAACTTGTTATGTCTATTAAAGTATTCTTATATGTTGCATATAATGTAGAAGTTCTATTTTTGAATATAAAATTCCGTGTAAAGAAAAATGTTTTGTTAACTTTTTCAAACTGAAAGACACAGTGAATTACAAAAGCAGAAAGTGAATTAATGAAAACATATGAACAAAGGACATAAGTCTTCTTATATGTCAGGTTAACACATCAATAATAACAGATCAGGATAAACTCAAAAGATCTACTAATGAACACAACTGCAATTAAATCCTCAAAGAATAGGAGCCAGTTTTAATTATAACATCTGCTTTTCTAAACGTGTCTGGAATATATGTTTAACATTATGTTCTTCCAGCAATTTTCCAAACTCTAAAATTTGGAAAATATGATTCTCCAAATCAACAAAAATGGCAATATTGAAAAAAAAAAAACAGTCTTGGACAAGATGTAATGGTCTCTATTTCTTCAAGAATTGAATGCAGAAGTAAACAACATAGAAAAGAGATGTTACGTTAGAACAGTGGTGTAGCTCTTTAGGCAGATAAAACAAGGTAAATAATGAGGAATCCATGAATGCCTCTTAATGTTTCAAGAAGCCTTAACTAAATTTGTGTATTTTGTGTATTTAACTATAAATACACAAAAAGGCTGCACGGGCTAAGTAAAACATTTGTTTTCTTTGCTTTTGGGAAATTATATCAATTTTTGCATATCAACATCAGCTTTGTCAGGTTAATCAAGACTTCCTAATGGAACTTAAAAGTTTGACTAATATGAAAATGGAAAAGATTACTTAAGCACTTTAATAGGGATACAAAGTCGTTCTAATCACAGCGGGTGGGGGAAGAGCAGGAATTAAAAAGGGGCCTGGATAAATGGAGAGTAGGAATTAAAATGGAACGTAGGTGGTTACGAAAAAAATAAAACAGGTTGGGAATCAGGAGATTAGATGTCAGTGATTACTTGAGACTATTCTGGTGTCAAGGTTCTATATGCGGTATCTTAAAACTCTTTTGTAATTCAAAAGATGGAAATGACAGCTACCTTCATCTTCTCCCTTAATGAAAGCTTAAGGACAGAGAGAAGCAGATCTGCTTCTGAGAAACAAAGATGCTTTCTACCATTCTTCTAAGATGGTGGAAGAGTCTCCCCTTAAGAGGCTTCCTCAAGAAGGAAAAATGAAAGAGGGAAACAGAAAAGCCATAGCACAATTCCTTGGCGGTGTTTCTTTCCAGTGCTCCGTCACATCCACTGTGCAATCACTCTGGCCCGACCATCTCCCTCCCAGGAGGCTGAGCCCTCCCAGGGCATTGTTTGGCCAGGGTCCCTATTTACCACTCGGATCGCCTCCACCATCCCTGCATTAGGATCTCCGAAAGCGCCAGCACAGAAAGCCGAAAAGCTTGGAGCAGACTTCGTTTCGAGGACCTCCTCCAAACCCCCTCTTACTGACAGTGTAGAAATCGGACTAGAAGCCTGGCCTTTGCTGGGGTGGATTCCTTAGGGGTCAGAGGCGTCCCCTCGGCCGGTGCCGAAGGGAGGTGGCCATTTGCGCCAGGCCTCGGTATGGAAAAAGCCCCACCAGGGCGAGGGGCCTCCCCAGGCCCCGAACTCCCGGGCCGGTGTCAGGTGCGGCCCCCAGTCCCAGACCCTCGGGGCGCCGTCAACGACAGCACGCAGGCCCCGGCTGAGGCCAGCTCCC